CTGAAAAGCGTTGGGGCTGCTTATTTACATGCCTCTCCACGAGAGCAATTCACCTTGAGCTAGCAGGTGATTTCAGTTCTGACGCGTTTATCATGTGTCTCAGAAGGTTTATGGCGAGACGAGGAAAGCCAAAGATGATGCTGTCTGATAATGGGACAAACTTTGTCGGAGCTAACCGAGAGCTTAAAGGAGCTCTTGATAATCTGAAGAATTCTAACCTTGTGAGCAGATTAGCCAAACAGGGCATAAGATGGCAGTTCAACCCGCCTGCAGCTCCTCATATGGGGGGAGTTTTCGAATCACTAGTTAAGCAAGTCAAGAGAGTTTTAAAGGCAACTTTAACTAGTCGAGTCTTTGGAGAAGATASGTTGCATACAGTCCTTGTAGAAACAGAGGGAATTCTAAACAGCCGACCGCTCACAGCAAATAGTGACGATCCAAATGACTTCGAAGCTTTGACACCTAATCATTTTCTTATTGGAAGAGCTTCTCCAAACAATTCACCTGGTCGATTCCAAGAACGAGAAGTTGATAGTCGCACAAGATGGCGTGCAGTTCAAGCTGTAGCTGATATGATATGGCGTCGTTGGCTTCGAGAGTATTTACCAAGTCTGACAACACGTACAAAATGGAATAAGGAGAGGCGAAACTTAAAGAAAGGGGATCTGGTCATAGTGTCGAGTGACAGCCCTCGAGCCGAGTGGCCCCTTGCCCGTGTTGTTAAGGTTTTCGAAGGAAGGGATAGAAGAGTCAGGTCAGCCGAAGTCAAGACGTCGAGTGGTACCCTACTACGCCCAGTATCAAAGCTATGTTTTTTGGAATGTTATTAAGATGTTTGTTTGTTTTCTTTTCATTGTGTCCTAGATGTAATAGAGACTGAAATGACCCTTTTAAGGTCATTTCGGGGGGGAGGATGGACGGACACATATATACATAATATCGTTGACATTATTGGGAACCCTGTGTCAGTAGGACCACATGGGTCACATGCACATATTGTAATCGGGTTTTTGCAGCTACGTGAAGACTTCACAACTAATTTTGTAAGCCTCAATAAATCAAAGCTTTCCATGAGTCACCTCATGGTTATTGGTCCTTCGAGCCGGATAACCGTCTAAGGTTGTCCTTCTACCTGGTTATTGTATCGACGAAGATACAACGAGCTCAACAATGAGCGAAAGGCAAGTCGACAAAGACAAAGCATTCCCTCGGTTCCCATCGCCGCCATTCCACTTCATCTCTCCACTCGGTTCGGAATTTGATGTACATCCCGAAGATTCAATCAGTCAAATAAGTATCGCCCAAGGTTCATCCACATCAAAGGCAAGCGCTTCGACGAAGAAACGCACGAAGGCGTTATTAAAGGCTGCTCAAGCTCGACTAAGGGCGGAGCAGATCGCAGAACAAGCAAGAAGAGATGACGAACTACTCGAAGAAGAACTAAGGAAAGAAATCGAACTAGAAACAAGACGAAAGGAGTTAGAGCTATGGAAAAGAAAGAAAGAAAGAGAAAAGGAAGTGATTAAAGCTCAAAACGAAGCAGCATTCGCTGAGCTTGAGAAAAATATCATACTGTCTCGAGCGAACACTGTTGTTGAGGTTAGTGGATTTGATTCAGTAAATCTRCCATCATTGCCTAATAAARAAAATCCACCTCACACAGACTCTATCCATCAGAATAACAAATCTGTTGATGTTTTACCTCAAGAAACTATCGTAAATACATGTAAAGAATCAGATGTTGATGTAAAATCAGACACGAGGGAAAACGAGCAAACCTCGTGCGCCATGAAATCTACATCTATGCACCCAGTAGCATCTAACGCTGTCTCGGACGACAAAATTGAATCTGTTACACGTCCAAACACTCCTCAAAGCAAAGTTGAAGAACATTCTCCTAAAGATCATACTCCATTGCATACAAATTTAGATGAGAATATCACTGTAAATAAGGAAAACATTGAGACACCACAGGTAACCCATCTCACTCAAAATGATGACCGGCCGAACTTGCCTAAACTTGCCCACGG